ACAATTAAAAAACGAAACTAGTTGATGGTTTCAAAGTGAATCTAAAAAACTATCAAGGTTAAATTGGAATAATGTATAACATGTGAAAGACTCTAACTCGCTCAGAAGTATTTGGCCCTAATATGCATTTATCTTGGCTTCGAAGACAAGTTTTCTCTTATTTATTAATTTCCTTTTTTTGCCGGTTTGGTTATATTTATTCCTTATCGTCTTTCTTTCTCCCTTTTTATTTCTCTCACCAGACCAGACCAGACGCTCTTCTGAAACCCTCATTAGTGGTTGAAGATACGACACTCGACGATGATCAGCTCGCGTCCATGTCCACCGAAGATCTCATTAGAGCTATTCTTAATTTCGACAACGGAATCACAAGCCTCGAGAATAAGCTCGCGTCCATGTCCACCGAAGATATCATTAGAGAAACTCGTTTTCTCAAGGTTCGATTTTTTCTTTCTTTTGACTTAAATTTGGCGATTTGAATTTTTGATTTAATTCCCGTCTAAAATTTGAGAGAGTTTTTGTTTAATTGGTATGTAGGAAGAGTCACGAAGAAGAAAACTATGTTGTCATTCTTACGAGGAGAAGGTTAAGGAGGGTAAAGAGATAATTAGGGAGTATGATGAGAAGATTAAGGAGATTGATATGGAGTATGAGGAGAAGATTAAGGAGATTGATATGGAGTATGAGGATTTGGAGTATGAGGAGATTGATGAGGAGATTGATATGGAGTATGAGGTGAAGATTAAGGAGGTTGATAAGAAGTATGACGAGAAGACTAACGAGATTTATATGGAGTTTCAGGACAAGTTTACGGAGTATGAGAAGAAGACTAAGGAGATTGAAATGGAATTGAGGAAACTCATCGGTGAAGATTGACTAAGATGTGATTCTTACTTGTTTTTGTTTTTTGATCCTAGCTTCTGTTTTCTTCTTTTGGATCTGATTGATTGAATTATGATTTCACTCAATGTTTTGTTATTTATAAGATATCCTCCTGCTTATTTGCTATTATCACTTTCGCGAAAGTCTGTGTAATAGGAGAGTAATAATACTATTAGTTATCATGTAATAAAATGAGCCTGCGCCTGTCCTGTCCGCTTCCGTGCTGTGTACTTTCCTATGTGCTTTGGTTTCACTCTTTTGACTGTCGGGGTGGAAGCTGTTCAGATGGTGTCTCCTTTCTCTGCCTTGGCGTAGTCCTGGTTTGCGGGTTTTGGTGTTGCATTTGGCGAAAAACGCATCTCCTTCTCTTCTTTTGGTTTGGTTGGTGTTTCGGCCTCTGTCTTCTCTTGTCGCAGGAGCTTCAATAGTGCTAATCCTGTTTCGGACGATGTGAGGTTCACCCTATTCTGTTCGTTTCATATATGTGAGATGGTTGCTTGAAAAATAAACCGGATTAGATGTGGGAAGCTTGAGGGTTTGAGATGATGTGTAAAACATTGTTCTAGTCAGCAACGACTTGATGTTGTAAAAGCCCAGTGCCAAGTTGCATCCAAACTGATTTTGAGTATTGACATAGATGATCATGCGTCTCCGAGTATGTCCAATATCGCTGGATTCCACAGCCTCCCTCATTCGGTCTCCGCCAATTGTGTATAGCTAACCAAGCTATGAAATCAAATTTTGGCACAATAGTATCATGCTTCTTGATCTGAATTCTTCTTTCTTTTATCTTCTCACTGCAAGATGATGATTGATTTTGTTATTCTTAAATAAGGAATCTAGAGCATTAAATCACTAATCCGTGCATCATAAACCTCAGTAGAGCAATAACCTTTGATGGAATTTTACAAAACTAGAATGAATACCCACGAATCACTTCTTCATGAGGAAATTGATCTSAAGAGAACATATTGCAATCAAAACAAAATCCAAAGGCTGGGCTCTYAATATGGTTCAATCTCTGAGTTTCACCTCTTTAACACTAGCAAAATAGATAAGATTCTCTATCTCCAAGTTTCTCCAACGATTTCTTACGAATATTTTAGCAATGTTGATGAGCGTTATTTTCTTGTTTTTGACATCAAAATTTTAGCGGTTTTATGTTATATGTTTTGTTGTGTAATATCAGAAAGATGTTCAGGGACATTGACGTGGAACGGAACACGATCGACCACTACATTCGACTGAAAAGTGGACCAAATTTACTAAGACGGAATTTTGAAATGATTTTCTCATTATTTGAAGACTATTGGAAAGAAATATACAACGTATGGCAACTTTTAGAATTGTCAAGCATAAACGAGTAACCAACTCAATTATTTGTTGCATCCTCAGATAAAAAAGTGTGTTGACTTACAATGGCGATCATGCAATACATATATGCAGCAACAAAAGGATCTAAACGTTATTATTCAGCAGAGTAATAAACTTTGATGGAAATTTACAAACTAGAATTACCCATGAGTCAGTTCAGTCAGTATTGAAATGGACCAGAAGAGAACATATTGCAATCAATTACCTAAAAACTTGCTACCGAGAAACAAAATCCAACGTTCCTCAAGTTCATTATGAGAATATTCAGAGACATTCATGGAGTTTAT